TTCTTATTAACATTCTGAAAAGGTTTTGTTTCAGAGTTTCCTACAAAGCCGTAACTTCTCTGGGACTTTGTGTTTTACTTTGTCTTATTACAATTGTATAAAGAAAACGTAATGGACCTTTTCCCCCAACACTAGCATAGACGCCCTAATTCTGTAGTTTACCCCAGGCTGCCATTCATATAGTATTGTTTTCTATGTTTGCCATAGTATGAAAAGGACTAAGCCGCATTGTTCTGATGGCTCAGGATTGAAGAATGGCAAAGTGGGAAGAGAAGAAGGTTGAGAAGGAACTTTACCCCAGACTGGGTAAGAAATCAAGTCAGAAAGGGCTGATAGCAGGGTTCGTGGGAAGGAGAAAGAGAACCAGATCCTGAGATCAGAAAGTAGAGCTGGCCCCAAAAAGGTAAGAGAGAGTGGGGGCTGAGAATGGCAGGGCGCTTGTCTTAGTCCATTTTCTGTTGCTTATGGCAGAACACTGGAAACTGGGTAATTTGTGAGGAAAAGGAATTTGTTTCTTATCGTTCTAGAGGCTGAGAAATCCAAGGTCAGGGGGCTGCATCGAATGCGTGCCTTCTCGCCGGTAGGACTCTTTGAAGTCTATCACGTGGTGAGGGGGCTGAGTGTGCCAATGTGCTGGCTCAGGTCTCTCTTCCTTTTTCATAAAGCCACCAGTCTCCTTCTCATAACCCATTAATCCATTAACACATTCATCCTTGGATGAATTGATCCATTCATAAAGGCAGAGCCCTCATGATTCAGCTGCATCTTAAAGGCCCCACCTCTCAATACTGCCGCACTGGGGATTAAATTTCAACATGAATTTTGGAGAGGACGAACAACCAAACCATGGCAGCACCATTTTCCATCCCTCTTTAGCTTGACTTTCCTTTGCGGCCTTACCCTAGATATCAGGACTTTTTTGTTACACGTGCCAGAAAAACAAGCTCACCTACTCTAGGTAACTGAATAGTTTGGAAGGCAGGCATAGCTTCAGGCATGACTTGATTCAGGAAGTGTCCACCTCTTAACTCCTAGTGTTACTGGTTTTCTTCTTGGGCTTTGTAGGCTATTCATGGGACAGGGGAAAACTAACAAACAGGAGGCTAGATGGATGGATGGAGGAAGTATGGGGAGGAGGAAACTACTCCTTTGACTCTGATCACCTCCTGGGATCGGAATGAAGAAAAGCATGAGATTGGGTTTAAACTGGAAATAGCCTTCAAGAGCATCTGGTCTCCTTTACAAGTGAGCAGAGTGAAACCTGGAAATGGCAGGTAACTGTGGCAAGGTCACACAGCTGGTCTTCAAACTTTCTGATTTCCAGTTCATTTGGCATTACTCTCTTTGGAAATAAGGATGAGGATGAAAACAAGTGTCTTCAATTAGGCAGTCAGTCTGCCCTTCGAGAAAGCCCATGTGTAGTCTGGAAACGACTGCCCTTTACCTTTTTCTCATCCTGGAGTTTGGGCAACCAGGGACACTCCAATCCCTGCGGGAATGCTGGCACACAGTCACATCTCCAGGGCTTAGGAGTTTATCCCAGGTGAAGCAAAGACCCCAGGAAGCACTGATGTGTGCTCAAGAGTTGTGTAACCCAAAAGTGCACATCTACTTAGAAAAGTTTGATTTTGATTGCCAAAGAAGGCAAAACATCTTAAAATGAAGTTGAGCTATCTTTGGGTAGGATGCAAATCCGCCCATGAGTATATCACATCAGAAACGATGTGTGATTTCTTCCAGTCCCTCAACCCAAAAAAGACGAACAGATTTAACTGATGTGTTCTAAAAATAAATAAATAAATAAAATCTGCTTTGAGCTCAAAACCAAGTATAGAAGTTTCTGGGTTTTGAGAGGAGGGGTGTGGGGAGGAGTGGTGGAGGGATAGTGAGGTAAAGGATGATGGGGAAAATTGTTTTTTCAGTGTAAAAACCAAGTTATAACAGTGCTACTGCTTTAGCTATGAACATTTCTGCTTGGGAATAACAAGATGACTAAAGGTCACAGAAACAAGGTTGGCTTGGAAAAAACTTATGAATGGTGGTTATAAATTTAAATCATCACCCATATGGCTGAGATTTCTTCCTCAGAGTTGAAAACCATGGTGAAAGTCTCAACACTCCTTTATACTTGCGTTTTCCATAACAAAACAAGTTAAACCCACCCGTGACCCAACCCCACAGGACTCAGATTTGGAGGCCTAGCATCTGCCTTCGTGAGGAACCGTATCCAGATGCAAACCTAGTTGGCTTGGCCCCAGTTGTTCCCAAGCTCCTCCCCAGCCTGCCTCCCGCCTCCCAGTGCCTTGGGTGGAGGAGGTGTCCCTGTGGTCCACCCCACACAGTCATGTACTCTGCTGGCTGGAAATGGCATCAGCTCCCTTCTTTTCTGAGGCACGTCTGAGCTTGCATTTATTATATAACAGCATTTTCTGGATTGATGCAAAATGTCCTTCACAGGTCACCCAGTATTAAAATAGGCAACTTATTAAATTTATTTTGTTGTGTAAGTACCCCTCTACCCTCCACCACTACGCTTTGGAGTGAATGTTGATTCTTTTAGTTCTCTTTGTCTTTTTCAGAAAAAAAGAATGTGCTACTGTGGTGCAGAAAATCAATGGTAATTTTTCAGGCTATTTAGGATTATTCACATGACCAGCTAAGCCTGATGCTGATAGAAAAAGACAATTTTGTTGCAGAGGAAATCTTCAAGTTTGAAACATCACCACTGGTGTGTCTCTGTGACTTCTCTTCATAGAACTTGAATATTTATCCCACAACACGAAATGGGTCAATCCTGGTAGTGTTCATTTGATCCTAATACTTGCTGGGGATTGTGATGTGTGTAAGCCGAATTCCCTATCAATGGGGCCCTCAGAAGCTTATAAATGTGAATGTGCATCGGGGCCAAGGGGAGGGCAATGGGGATGGATAGCAAAATATATTGCATAGATGAGTAATAACTGATACAAGGCAGAAAAGTCGTGGGATGTGAAGGCTATACATTGCTATGGGGTTTCAAAAGAAACGGAGATGGTCTTTGGTTGGCTTTAGGAAATCTCTTTTGGAAGAAGGGCCATCATCATGGGAGGTTTATAGTAAACAAACCACATCCAAGCCCACATGGCCCCTCTGGGAAGTAGGCATCACAATTCCTATGGCACAAGGGAGTCGTCTGGAGTGCAGAGAGTTTAAGTGATTGGCCCAAGGTCACATGACCAGGAAAGGGGGTGCTTAAAGGCATGGGCCCAGAGACAATTCTACAAGTCCAGGGCCAGGTGTAGCACTCAGCAGGCCTTACACAGATAGAAGACCCAGCTCTTCTAGAACTTACTGCAAGGTTGAGAAGATGAGAGGCCCAGTGTGAAAACCCTGATGAATGATTTGCAGCAACTTGTAAGCAGAAAAAATGTTGATTCTTGTCTGCTAGCAGCTCTAGTGTTCCGTCCTCTGAGAGGCCTGAGTGCTTCTCATGCTAAGCCAATGCCTTATCCCAAATACCAATGCTAAACAGATGGGTGAGTCCTGTCCTATCTGTTTGTACCATAAAGTCTCAGGGCTGGGTAGCTATCAGACAGGGACTCACTCCCAGGACCCTTCTCTTCCACCCCTGACCTGCCCATCATTACACCTGTGGGTAGCGGGTGTTCTTAGGGCCTTGCTAACCCAGATAGTGCCTTTGTGAGCATTAGTGAAAACCACCTTCTCTAGGCAGATGCAACAGCAAGATTGCAGAGCTTGCTAAGCCAAGAGTGAGCTGGCTCTCACCCCCTCCTCCATCCTCAGCAGGGCACAAACTGCACATCACTGGGGTATGCCTGGTCGTCCCTTTCAGCTCTTCCTGGAGAGAACCAGTACGCTGCCAAGCAGCTTGCTCTGCCTCTAGAGAAATGTTCCCCCAAAACTCAGTGCTTACATGATCCCAGCTGAAAATGTGGATTGGATAGTGAATGCTAAAACATCTAGGTCTAGTGACCACTCCTGACAGTGCATTTGGAGTACTGGGGAGGAAAAGGTGGCAACCAAATAGATGGAAAATGAGCCTCACTCCTGGAGTCTTATTTCAACTGCAAGGTAACATATGCTTCAGCAGCACAAAATTATAGCCCAGCTAGTCGGCAATAAATCACACCAGCTGAGAGAACATACGCAAAACTCGTTACTAACATTGTCACTAAACACACCTTGGACAAACGCGCTGGGATAAAAGATCAGGAGCAGACGAGACACTCAAGAATATATCAGTGATGTACTCCAACTCAGACAATCTCTTGAAGCAGTCCAGATTGCAATTGACACACATTCTCCAGTTTCTTCCAGCCTTCCCCAACAGAGACCATCTTGCTCCTTCATACCACAGGTATATCTTGCTTAATAAAGCAGAGATGTTCCTGCTAAGTTGTTGTAAATAACTTGAATTTTGGTTAAAACTGATCATTTACAAGGTATTTGGGGATAACAACAATAATTTGCACATCACAGTGCAGAATCTTCTCCTTGGAGGAAGTTCTTTGTCATCGCCTAACACAGGATGCTAAACTGGAGGTTATAAGCGAGCTCCAAAGCTCCTTGCTTTTAAGGGAAATTGTAGACAAAACTTCTTTGTCTGGAATGAGGGTCCAGAACTTCTGCCTAATGAATACTCAAAAGGTTCTACAATCCAAAAAGTTTCAGAACCCAGAAGCAAATTTTGTGGACAAGTTTGGAGTTAGAATGTTGGTGCACACGTTTTCCTGGAAGGACAGGACTATTTCTTACATTGACAATGGCTGTCAACTAAGTTTTTGGTCAGGAGATTTCTTATTCTTGGCACCTGGCAAGTTACCAAATCTTTCTGGGTGTGTTTGTAAAGACAACAGAGAAAGAATGCCAGACACAAAGCCACCCTGGCCTCCTGTTTCCAAATGGAATGGCCAACCTACATTCATGACATGTGGGGGTTCAGTCAGGATGATGGGAGAGATTGCATAATTGTAATAGTCACAAACCTTCTTGGAAGGCTGGAAGATTTTTGCAAAAGCCTTGGGAAGGAGGTTATGGTTGAAGGCAGCCTAATCCCCTTTCCTTGTGAAAATAACATAGAGTAGAGTTTATCTAAATAAGTTGTTTACTCACATGGTCCTAAAACTAACCTTTAACCATTTGCAGGACAGATGGGTCTCTTAGCGGAAGGGCGACCGGGTTTATTACCCACAAATGGTGTTTGCTTTAGGCCTCAGAACCTGGCCTTTAATCATTATCTATAAGTGTGTTGACTCAGAGCCTTTGTTATTAAATCTATACTGAATAAATGCCCTGAGTGCCAGCTGGTGAAGGCTGGTGGCTGCTAACTGTCTCTGCAGCATCTGTGGCCATGGACCCCTAGCCCTCTCTTTCACTGTATTTGGTATTTGAGTGCATTTGTTCATCCGTCACTGGGTCAGGGCCTGTGGGTTGAATCCAAACGAGGACATAAGGCTGCACCACTCAGAGCCTGCACTTCTGTCAGTATGAAGTCACATGTAGCTTTCCTGGTTTGGGTGCCTCCTGTCCGTGTTATGTCCTGGGTTTCCTAGAACGGCACGGTCCAGGGTTGGGCTGTGCTGAGGACTCTGTTTCAGGCTCTGGCTGCACTGTCCACTTCAGCCCATTCTCTGAATTTGGAGTCACAAGGCCCAGGCCCTTTTTCTCCTTCCTTTTTGCTTTTTCCATGCAAAGAATAGCATCTTCAAGAATGCTGAAGGTTTCCCCTGTTGTCAGCATCTGTGCTGGGATTTGTCATTAAGTGCTGGTGGGCTGCTGGATTTTGACATCACATTGGATCCTAAAAGACAATTAACTGAGTAAAAATTGTTGAGGCTAATAGTGTTAGAAAATGTCAACTGGAGAGTGGGGAAAGATGATTATTGTTTCTCTGCCTTCTGGGCCAAGTGCTTGTTCATGAGGTTTGCCCAACAAGTCGCTATTCCAGGGGCCAGGAAGCATGAGGGAGGGGGTCAAGGCTCCAGGACCTTCCAAGGATTACTGAGCTCCAATCCTAGCCCCTCTGAAATGAGAAGCTGAGGCTCATATGTTTTTCTAGATTCTTAGAGGTGAGTCAGGGGTCTAGGACTGGGCTGTAAGATCCAGCTGTGAAGGCTGGTTTAATTCATGAATGGTGATCACACAGCATATCGCTCTGTCATGCACTTTGAGTATTTTCATTGCAGGTCCTTCCTCTCCTTTCCAAAAGAGACAGGGTGTGGCCCTGACATGCTGGCCATGTCTGCAGAGTGATCTGTAGGTAAGTGATTCGTCCTCTCCACCCTGGCTTCTGCATGAAGTAAATGCTGCCCAGGAAACATAACTAATGTTTCAATTATCCAAAAACTCAGAGAGCAAACTTGCCTAAGCCAACCAGGCTCTACTGGTGTCTTTTAAACAACCCCACGACATAAAGCATTTTCCTTGCCAACACACATGGGACACTGGTTTATTTTTGATGATTTTAGAGATTTAAAAATGTCAAATAGATTCTGGCTGTAAATGTCCCCACAGTGATTTTGTCATTTTGTAGAGAAAAGAAAGCAAGCTTCAACACCACCCCTTTCAGAATCGTCCAAGCTGTGCGCCCCAGCCCCTCCTTTCACAACCCCTTCCTACCACACCCCCATCCTATTCATATTCTGATCTTCGACACACTTGAAAAGATGTTATTTCAAATGTTCCTACCAAAGAGAAAATTTTTCTCGTGTTTTTAGAGTCTGCCGTCAAAGGACTTAATCTGCATTGGGGGCCGGCGGCTGCAGATGTGGGTGCTGGAGGCGAGAGAATCATACACAATGCGGTGGAGCTGGAGGGGCCTCGGCTTCCTGGGTCTGGCCCCCTGCCCACACTGCAGAAACCACTGAGTTTTGGTCAGAAGATTCCTTATTCTTGGCACCTGGCAAGTTGCCAAACCTTTTTGGGTGTATTTGTTGGGAGCCAGTTGGTTCAAGGTGACATAGAGATGGGAAGGTCCCAGACCTCCTGACTCCCAGTGCAGGGCGGCTACCTCGTCCTTCAGAGTGCTTTTTGCTTAGCTGGGGGCAACAATAAAACTAGACACAGCAATGGATTCAGGCTTCCTGATTTGGAATTCACAGTCAATTGATCAAGATTAGGACAAAAGGTTACCCTTGCATGCAGTCGGTAAGAGTCGGTTTGCCCAGCAAATTAATCAAATAAGAATTGATGGAGAAGTTTTAAAAATAATCTGAGAAGGCTAACTCTGGTATTCTCTTGACAAATATTTGTTGATGGTCTATTGTGTGTCTGTTGAAGAGGTAGCAATGCACATCCCTGCTCTTAAGCAGTGAAACAGACACGTCAACAGGCCCACTCTGAATGAGTGCTTAAATGCTACACGAGGAGAAGCACAGGTGCTAAGTGAGTGGGCTGGAAGGGTCCTCATGGCAGACTTGGGCCATCGTGGATCTTGGACTTTTTCCCAGTGGAAGCCATGTTGAAACTGAGAGCTGAAAGATTTAAAGTGAAGACGTGGTTTGGAAAAACCACACTAGCTGCAACCTAGGAAATGGATGGGACTGCCAAGAGAGAAGGTGGAGAGACCATGGGAAGGCCACCACAGCTCTCCTGGGAAGAGTGCTATGACCTGATTTAGGGAGGTGACAGTGGGTGGAAGAAACCCCAACAGCCTCAGAAATGGATGGGATTTGGGAGGAGAGGGAGAGAGTGAGAGCAAGGTATGTGAGGAGGGGCAGGCTTCTGTGTGAGGTGACTGCACAGAGGGGGTATACTCACTGACGAGGGGACCCTGCTAGAGAGGGTGGCACAAGAGGGAAAGACAGGTCACGGCTGAGGATTGGGTTTCTTAGAAGAGGCTCCAAGTATAGGGAGGGAACAGAACTTGAGTTCAGTTGTAGATATGTTCTAGGTGCATCTGGAACACAGAGGGGAGAGGCCCAACAGGCAGGCAGATGGGTACCTGGGTGAGAGCGCAGAGGAGAATGCAGGCTGGAGGTGAGGTCTGGGGGTCCTCGGGTGGCTGCAGACTTGAGTGGGGATTACAGGCTTTCCCAAGCACTTGAGCAGCATCCTTAGCAATCAAGAATTTGGTGCTAATTACAGATAACAGCAGGCCTCATTTGCATATTAACAACTAAAGGGACTAATTACAAATTAGCTTTATCTATTCATTAAAATAAGCCCAGGAGGCCTTTTTACTTGGAAAGGCTTTGATAGCATTTAGTTAAATTACTGTGTGTGCACCTGGAAGTAATAACAGCTGCATTTCCTGTATGCCATTGTATAAATCAGACAGGCAAAAGAGAGGCTTTAGTGGATTTAAAACCAAGAGGATTTGATTTTGCAACCTCAGAAAACCGATGCATGCATGTGGGTAAGAGTAGTTTTCAGGGTAATTAAAAGGAAAGTCTAAAATTGTTCTAGTTTTGTTTTAAGTTTTGTATAGCTCCTTCTACCTGAGGAAGCAGGGTTCCCAAATGTTCTCCTCAAGGGTCTTTGAAGGCAGAGGGCTTCCAGGCTCAGAGCAGAGGCTTGCAGTGCTTGATGGCATAGAAGGAGATTTGGAGCTCAGATGGAGAGGTCAGAAATGAAGCAGTGATAGTTACATGGAAAAACCGAACAAAGCGACAATTACAAACTCCCAGAAAAACAAAAAGTTAACAAGAAGAAAGCCCTGTTCCAGTATGTGAGGGGGCGTGGCTGTGCTGCACACACTAAGCTAACCACTGATGTCGCTGAAAGTGGTGACATAAGTATTTCAAAAATAAACGGCATGGTTTTCCACAATAAATCTAAAACTGAAAAAGCGCAAAAGCACCCCAAATACACTGTTCACAGATATAAAGGTGAATAACTGAAGATGTTGTCTTTGAGGAAGAATTAGGAGGCAGACAGGTGGGGCAAGAATGGCAGTCTTCTATTATATGCCTTCTGGTTATGTTTGACTTCTTAAACCAATGCACACACGCTATTTAATTTAAAAAAATACAGCCTCTGAAGACATGTTCTTTTGGCTTCAATTGTTAAGTAAAAGCATGAACAAATAATGGTGCCTCGAGTCTACTAACTCACCAAAGCAGAAAGGAATCAGCTGCATGTGTGACCTTCCAAGACCACACATCCCCCAGGCATGTGTTGCCAGGACAAGGGAAGTGTTGGCTGATCTAAGTTACAGTCCTGCTGTGGCACTTCCCATGACCTACCTGAGGAAATGCACATCCTTCAGGGCCTCTGAGATACAGCCCCAGCCAACCTCTCCACTTCTTTTTTTAAACTACTGTCACCCAGTGACACTCTGTTACCCAGGCTGGAATGCAGTCATGCAATCATGGCTCATTGCAGACTTGACCTCCAGGTCTCAAGCAATTCTTCTGCCTCAACCCTCTAAAGCGCTGGGATGACAGATGTGAACCACTGTGCTCAACCACCTCTCTACTTCATAACGTCCCCTCCTCACACTTGCAGCTCCTGCCACCCTAAGCAGATTGCAGCACTGAAGTACACACACACACACACACACACACACACACACACACACACACACACACAGAGTATTAGTCTGTTCTCATGGTGCTATAAAGAACTGCTCAAGACTGGGTAATTTATAAAGAAAAGAGGTTTAGTTGACTCACAGTTCTGCAGGGCTGGGGAGGCCTCAGGAAACTTACAATCATGGCAGAAGGGGAAGCAAACACTTCCTTCTTCACATGGCAGCAGGAAGGAGAAGTGCAGAGTGAAGTGGGGAGAAGCCCCTTTTAAAACCATCAGATCTCATGAGAACTCACTATTATGAGAGCAGCATAGCGGGATCCACCTCATGACTCAGTCATCCCCTCCTGGTTCCTCCCAGGACACATGGGGAATATGGGAACCACAACTCAAGATGAGATTAGGGTGGGGACACAGCCAAACCAAATCACACACACACCCCATGGCAGTCATGGACTCCTCCCACCACCCCCATGACCTGGCTGACTCCTGGCTTCTGGTCACTTCCCCTCTGTGTCCTAGTCCAGACCCTTCCTTCTCCAGAGAGCCTTTCCTGGCCCCTCGAGTGGCGTGCCTGTGGGCTCCCAGCGAGCCCTGTGCTTACCCGCTGCATTATCTGTGGTCCTTCTCTCTCCCTCATGAGACCCTTAGAACGGGAACTGTGCCCACTACAGATTGCACAGTTGAGTACGATTACTCTGGAAAGTGGCTGAAGATCCTTCTTGCTTCTTCCCGCCTTTCCTCCTTCCAGTCCCCATTCACTAACAAGACCCTTGTCTTTACCAACACCACACTCAGCCTCTGTCTCTTCCTTGCCCTACAGAAAAGAGACAAAATCCAACTCTTATGATGGAAGGAGGGAGGCTCAGACAAGTCTCGAAAAGGATAGGGAGAAAGGACTGGAATGTTGGGTTTTTCATGTTTGTTCAAGCCCAGATGCCAACCTCCAGCGCAGAGAGGAGCGTGCATTCCCAGTGCTGTGTGGCCCCTCATTAAGGACTCCCTGTGGGCTCCCCGAGCCAAAGGCACTCAATCCTTCCAGGAAGCCCAAGGCTTACATCTCCCTGATCCGGTGTCTCCAGACCCCCTAGCTCGGATTTTGCTTCCTGAGGGATAAGGCCCAGAGATGAGCTCTGTCCTGCCTTCTCCCAGACCTCAGCTGGACCCAGCCCTGCTGTGCTTCAGAAAAGCTTTGTTCTCCTTGCCTCCTGGCCACACTGACCAAGCAAGCACGCACTGTAGAGTCTCATACCTCTTAGGCACCAAGAACACCCGGCCAGCCCAACATCCCAACAGGAATCCAGCAGAGAGAGGAAAGGGAAAACTCGGCATCAGTTAGAGGCTCCAGGAGAAGGGCCTCAGGCAGCATGAGCCCTGTAGTGGTGGCAATAAGCATCAGAATGACCGCACAGAATTTCTGTTTGTTTTGGTTTTTGGTTTATTTTTTATTTATTTTTTTGAGAGAGTCTGTCACCCAGGCTGGAGTGCAGTGCCATCTCAGCTCAGTGCAACCTCTACCTCTCAGGCTTAAGGGATCCTCCCACCCCAGCCTCCTGAGTAGCTGAGACTACAGACACATGCCACCACACCTGGCTAATTTTTATATTTCTAAAGACAAGTTTTCACCATGTTGACCAGGCTGGTATGAACTCCTGAGCTCAAGTGATCCTCCTGCCTCGGTCTCCCAAAGTGCTGGGATTACAGGCGTGAGCACCGTGCCTGGCCGGCAAACAGCTTTCCAACCCTGATTGTCAGGCAGGTACTGTGTGTTTTACACACATGACCCACCAGCTCCATCAGCAATCCTGGCAGGCGGATCTGTCTTCGCTGGCGCTTAGTGGAGGTGGAACCCGAGCCTTGGAGTGGGGAACTCGCTTTCCCGGTTACCCCAAAATGGCTGAGTGAGAGGAGGTCCCACCCTAGGTCTGCCTGTCCTCAGAGAGTCTGAACTTTTAACTTTATTATTATGCTGTTATGAACCAGGTTGGCAAAGGAGGGAAGATGTGGAGAAAAGAGGTGAGAGAATTTCTTTTTAAGTTTAAGGGAAGCTGAGCACATTTTGAGAACCAAGTTGTAAGGAAAATCTAGCTCTTGAGTGGGATGTGGCCTCCACCCCCCATTCCTCCCAAACCCACAACCAGTGGCCCAGATACTTCAGGGGTTCTGAGATCACTTTTTCTTCCTCAGTACCAAAAGTTGAGCCAAGTGTAAACAAGCAAACACTTTAAATAATGCTCCTTGAGGTGAGTCCTTAATCAGCATCTCACCCAGACTTTCTAAAGCCTCTGCAGGAGCACATAGATCTTCTCAGTGTCTGCGGCTCTGACAAGCAATAAGCTCACACCATCCAGGCTGATGGCTCCGGGTGCCTTTGGCAGTTAGTAATTTCAGATGCGGTGGGAGGGAGTTCTCAGTGAAAGAATCACACTTTCAATCCAAAATTAAAGCTCAATTTGGTCTAATTGTCCTTGATTTTATCAGTAGCATGAAATGGCTGATTCCATATGCAAAAATAAATAAATAGTTGTGCAGCTTTGAAATCCCTTCTTATCCCTGGGGACAGAGCCCGTCAAGTTCTGTGTTATTTTCAGCCACCAAACAGTGCTGATCTTTCTCTACCCTTTTCTATTTTCTCTCCCTTCTCTGCACTTCCCCCAGCCCTTTCCAAAAAAAGAAAAGCATAGTGTGTCTCTGTGTGTCTATCTCCTCTGTCTGTGGCTTGTATAATTTTAGAATGGAAGTTCCTTAAGAGCAAGAATAGTTCCTTCATGAGGCGATGACGCCCAGAAATCTGGAAATGCCTGCTTAAATGGTAAATCAGAATAAAGAAAATAATACAAGTGGCTGTTTATTTCTCTCACAGCAATTTCTTTGCAAAACCCCGCAATAGAGACCACACTTAGGCCTAGAATGAAGAGGCTGAGAGGCTGTCCTGGGGCTCTGGTGGGAGCCTCCTTTCCAAGAATAACCATAAATTTACCCTCAAGCAGCGAGGAAGCTGCCCATCTCTAGTCACCAGAAGACCTGAGTCCTGGCTTGCCTGTGCCTTCAGTTAGCTGTGTCGTTTGGAGCAACTCCCTTCACCTCTCTGGCACTCAGGCTCCCGATCAGGAAAGTGAAGAGCTGTGGTACAGTCTGAGGTGCCTTCCAGTGGTGGCTGTAGTAACCTCTGGGAGGGAGGAAGGGTGACAGTGACCCAGAGGAGACGGTGGAAGAGGCACAATGTGGGCAGTGGCGGGGGATGGAGAAGCTGCAGAATTTGAGCTCAATTTGGGGGGTGGAGTCAACAGGGCCTGTGACCCAGTGAGTTTGGGACGAGGAGACAGGAGTCCATAAGAGATGTTGGATTCTGCCTGGAGGACCCAAGAGTGTGTGTGTGGGTGACATAGATCAGGATGGCCGTCAGAGAAGGTGTCAGAAATTTTCCATCTGTGCTAGTTGTAAAATATGTTCACAAATTCTGTAACGCTGTTCCCATTAAGCGGTGGACTCTAATTCTCTTCTTGACTATACATGGCCTTGATTTGGTCTTGAGCTTCTGACGAGTACAGAGCCACAGAAATAACGCTGTGTGACTTTATAAAGACTAGCTTGTGAAGACAATACAGCTTCTGCGTGGCTCCTTCTTGGGAGCTTGCCCTCGGAACCCAGCTGCCATGCTGTGAGGAAGCCATAGCCACAGGTGGGTGCCCCAGTTGAGGTGCCATCACACAGCCACAGACGCCAGGGAGAAAGCCCGTGGGGCAGCTCCGGCCACAGCCACTGTCTGACTGCAGCATCTTGAGCAATGTTGAGCCAGAGCTACCTAGTTGGGCTGAGTCAACAGCCAGGACCACGAGAAACGGCAGCAGTGCCTGGCTGCTTGTTTGGTGGTTTCCCAAATGCTTACAGACCATGGGACATGTGGGTAGGGGCCCCATCCTTCTGGCTCCTGGCCAGAAGCACACAGTACATTCAGAAGTGTTGAGAGCAGAAAGTTTGAAGAAGTGAGTGTTTACAGGGGCAGGGGCAGGGTTAAGAGAACCAAAGAGGAATGGTAAATGCCTGGAAATCAATAGGAGGGGCCATTCCTGCCCCTAGGCCTGAAGGGACAATGCAGGGGGCAGGCAGGACAGTGTGACTGGGAGCCTGGCTGAGGGATCTGGGGAAAATGAGGGCCTGCCAGAATCAGCAGAATCCCTCAGACCGTGAGGGAGTGAGAAGGAAGGACCATAACCCCCACCCTGTCTCCTCTCCGCCACCCAGCCCCTCTGACGTCTCCCATTGGCTGACCCCAGCGGGATGCCAGAAGGCAAGGGAGGCCGTAATGCAGTCTGTAGAGACCAGCCTCCCAGAGCAGCATGAATACACTTGGCAACAGCTATAGAAGACAGCACAAATGAATAGAGTGAAAAGAGAGTGAAAGGTGGAAAGGTGGGAAATGAAGCCTTTCAGGGCAAGTGAAGCAGAGGTGCCCCCAGGTGAGCAGGAGCAGGTAAGATTGCACAGGCGGGAGAAGAACCAGATAGGAAAGGCCTGCAGCGTGTAGAGCCAGCAAGGGAAGAATTTCAAATGGAAGCAAGCCAGTACTGCCACATTGACTTGGGAGGCGCTGACATTTGCAGGCAGCTCGGCCTCTCCTGGGCTTTGCAAGACAGAAACCTGGGGAGGAGACCAGGTGGAAAGATGCCGCAGCAGGCGGGTCCGTCCCTCACAGTGACTGCCCCTCACAGTGACTGCCGTGTAAACCGGCCTTGCCCAGCCTCGATGCTCAGCTCCTCCAGGTCCGGGACAGTACGTGCTTCTTGTGTCCTTGCATCCTGCACGCAGGGGCTCGGGTGCCACCCGAGGACTGCTAGGACCGTGGCCCTGTGGGAAGTGTGAAATGGAGGTGACAGACCCCCAATGAAGCCACGGTGGGTAAGTTGGGAAGCAGGGGCAGCCCCTGGTCCCAGCCCACGTTGGCTGGAAGAATCCTGACAGCATGCATCTTGCTCCCACTGGTATCCTGGAGGGCAGAACCAGCCGGCTCCTGGCAGGCAGCACTGTGTTCCTGTGAGCCCTGACCTGGAGCCCTTGAGTCCTGGTGCACAGAGCAAGCTGGGGAAGTGGCCATTGGATGAAGCCCTGTGACATGGACAGGGGTGACCGTAGGGAGGGTGGCTGCTGAAAAGTTCAATATGGGGCTCACGCTTGGGGACCTGGGAGGTCTTTCTCTGACTTACGGTGTGTTAACATCTTCTCAGAAAGAGATGAAAGAGGATGCTATGGACATGCGGGTGCAGATCAGATCGTGGGGAGAGTGTCTGCCTCTCCGCACATAAGGGCATTAGGCGGCCCCAGGACTCAGACCCTGAGGGGAGCAGGAGGGTCGGGGAGGACTTTCTGCAATGGCAGCAATGTTTTCCTGTGTGTCGAATGTTGTAGCCACTAGCCACAGGCAGCCGTGGAGCAGCTGAGAAGTGGCTAGTGCGGCTGAAATACTGAATTTAAAGTACTGTGTCATTTTAATGACTTCCCACTTAAATGTATAGAACCACTTGTGGCTGAGGCTATTGTGGTACTAGACAGTGCAGGCAGAGGCTGAGCTGCTTAGAAGGGCGCGGAGAAGGACCCTGCTCTGGACATTGAGGAAGATAGTAACTCACCACCCTTTAAATAAAATGCCTGGACTGTTAGGAAGCTTGGGCAGCATCTGGCTGCAGCGCTTTACTTAACAGAGGAGGACGCAGGGGCTCCGCATGCCCCCGGGATGTGCTTGGGAAGATGGGGGTCGGGGGCAGCAGCAGAAGCTAGGGAGGCTTTTCCTGTTCCCCAAGATCTAGCAGACATAGTGTGAAGCAGAGCAACATCACAGCATAAAGTTGGGGACGGATGAGAAGAGGAAGGAAGAGGACACAGACTTGTGGGATCTCCCCAAGAGATCCCGGCTAGACTCAGTGGTTTAGTCCTCAAGGGGACGCCTGCCCACCTCACCTGCCAGCTCAGAGCTGGGACATGTGACAGGGATGGAGCATTCCCTGGAGGGAGTCTGGGGAGGAGCTGGTCCACCTCTGCAGAATCCTTGGTGTGCTAGGAGGGTCGCCCGACGATGCCTGCAGCCCTGCGGTCCAGCCCTTTCCCTGCGTGGCTCCCTCGGGGCTCTTGCTGCTCATGCCTCGAGAACCAAGGACCTCAAGTTTAGGGCCTTGAAGCAGGTCCCAGACCTCAGCGAGACTGGTGCTTTTGGACAGGCAGCTGGGAAGGGCGGGTGCTCTGCCTGGCACACTGTTTTGACACTGGTGTTCCCATTCCTTCTGGGACCGAGAGATAGTAATGCGCCAGCAAACACAGATTTTTTTTTCTTTCTATCCTGATGAATCACTTTTTAAATAAGAATAGGACCTTGGTAGCTGGTTGATCCTGTCCTTAAAACTGAATCGCTCCAGGTCTTGGTGCTCGATGAGGGCCTCTTCCTATTCCTGTTGACCGTTCTTGGGAGAGACGGTGTGCTTTCATTAGCCAAGCCAGAGACACAGATGTCAGTGTGGACGACAGCACTCCAAGTCCTGCTCCAAGTCCTCACTTCTGCACTTGTCAGTCAGGGCCAGATCCAGGAAGAAGCTGGGCTCTCCTATGGGACACTAAGGACAGCAAGGCTGAGGTCTGGGACCTGCTTCAAGGCCCTAAACTTGAGGTCCTTGGTTCCCCACCGCCACTCAGGCCACTCAGCAGACAAGGGCTTCAAGAAGCCCCGGAGCAGCCTACTTCTGCTCCCTTGCAGTCACCCACCCACCCACCCATTCAGTCTCTTTTTAGGAAGCTTTTGTGGGCACGTGGTTGAGAGGGAGAAGCCTAGCTTCCGCGTAAGTGATGGCATTGCTATGCGGTAGGTGTGTGGATGAAGGAAAACCCAATGCTGCAGAGTGGTGTCGAGGAGGTGAGTGATGGAGGGGGGCTCTGAGCCAGCATCCCCAGGAGGGATCTAGGGCCGGGGCAGCTTCCCTTTGAGGTGGGCCGGTCATTACTGTCGGAAAAACCTCAGCTGCACTTTAAGAGGGAATCTGATTTCACGGAGGGTGCCACCGGGAACATGGACAGCAAGAACCACAGGGATATCTACTGAACTTGGGGTTGATTTTGAGTAGTAATTCTCCAGAGTTCCACGTTAATGCCTTCACCTTCAGTGATGTGACCAGCAAACGCCACGCAGGTGCATGCAGTCCTTCTGTACGCAGCTGCACTTCCTTCACTGATGAGGGTGCTGTCCTTTACACAGCATGCCAGTTCCGACCGTCTTTTTCAGGGAATCAGGCCATGAAGAGATCATGAGAATGAAGAGGGGATGGGAAGAGGCATCAGGAATGCACATGAGGAGCAGGAACACCTCCTCAGTGACTGAAAGAAAAAAGTGCCCACGTTTCTTTGCACCGATTTTGCATTCCTCTTGGATTCGGCTCAGCATCGGCCATGTTCTGCCCTTCTACCTAAGTGAGTTTTACTGTCAGTGGCCAGGGTAGGAAGCCCTCTTAGGGAGCAGGCAGAGAGGTGACACAGTCCCCCTGGGTCATACAAACATGGAGCCCGAAGAACGAGTGAAGCTGGTGGATGTTCTCTGCCTGGTGCTCGCCCAGACCTAGCTCTGTCTCTCACCGGGAGCCGAGGCTGGCTTTCACACTCCTGAAAAAGTTCATTGGTTTTCTCACGTTCTGTTCCCTGAGCAGCCAGGCAGTGTGTCGTTTTAAATAACGACACTGTACAAATGGCAGTTCAGTCTCAAAGGAAATGCCTCGCCTAAGAAATAATCTCTCCATGCCAATTGTGGGATAATCGTTTTCCCACCAAAAACACTAGGAAAATGTTGGCTTTTAAGACACATAAACAGCAGAAATGCGAATTCACCGGCTAATGCCAGTGGAGAGGAAAGAAAGCAGCTTTCCTCGGGATGGCAAGCTGAGGACACCCAACTTCTGCCTCACATTTTCCCAGCACCGTTTCCCACAGCTGCTGAGGAAGGGCTCCTTGTGCTTTTCAGAGGTGCTGGCATCGTCAACACCATCTTGCAGGTGATGTTCCTGAGGCTCCCAAAGGCTGGGCGTCTTTACCACACCACCCCAGAGGGTCGCTTTTGGGGCAGTCAGACCCCCCAGTGACAGACTGCAGTTGTTCCCACCATTTTCACGCCCCCCCTTACAAATCTGCAGTGACAAAGGGACTGGCTTCCTCCTCTCATGTTTTCTGCTTTTGCTTGTTTGGTTTTGCTTACTGCCTGTAGCAAGTTGCTGGAGCCAATTTGTATTCAAATTCAAAGCCAAGCTGGCCTTGCTCAGCAGGAGTTAGCAAGTGCATTCAATTTGTGACGCTGCTGCACACGTCCTCTCTCTGGAGAAGGTCTGGACGTGGACTAGAGCCACTGCTCCCCCATCAAGGAAAAATGCCTCCAGTCATCTCTCGGCCCCTTCCCAGTATCACCATTTGTTAAGCGGGAAGTGGCAAATGCCTCATTTATTGTCACCTCTCTCGTGTACCGTCCTCTAAACACGTTTAAGTCTCTGTGGATTGGTTATTGCTTTGTCTAGCTAACTGCGTCACCCCTCAAATCCCACCAAATGCTAGGCTGTACCCTAATGTGGTCTCACAACGAGAATGAACTTTTCTCTTATGTGATGTAAACAAATAAGAACAAAAACAAAACCTAGTGATCCCCTTCTGTGTTTGGTAGAGAAGTAAGAACAGATGCAATCATATCACCAAGATGTAATCCACAAACACCAGGTTATTCTGTGTGAGAGGGAGGGTACTGTAGCCCAGAGTCCATGGATCAAGGCTTACTTCAAGGGAGCTCCTGTTTACAAAGTTAAATTTACCTTGATGCCTGGGCACAGCACTTACCACTAAAACTATTAACACAGGGTTTCTGATTCCAGACAAAACGGAGTAAGTGCCTTCTGCCTATTCCTTCTACTAATTGCAACTGAAAACCCTGGACAAAACACATAAAGCACTAACTACTAGAAAGTTGGAGAAAAGAAGATGGATAGCTAGAGACTCTGTAATTTGAGAATAACCCCAGATGTGTTTTGTGTTGGGATGGGGAGGAGGAATGTTTGCTTCCCATATATCCCATTCTGGGCACTACAAAGCCCCCAGTCTTGGAAATGCCAACTAGCTCAGACAATTAAAGAAAAAAAAGCCCCTGCCGGGCGCGGTGGCTCAAGCCTGTAATCCCAGCACTTTGGGAGGCCGAGGCGGGTGGATCACGAAGTCAAGAGATTGAGACCGTCCTGGTCAACATGGTGAAACCCCGTCTCTACTAAAAATACAAAACATTAGCTGGGCATGGTGGCGCGTGCCTGTAATCCCAGCTACTCAGGAGGCTGAGGCAGGAGAATTGCCTGAACCCAGGAGGTGGAGGTTGTGGTGAGCCAAGATTGCGCCATTGCACTCCAGCCTGGGTAACAAGAGTGAAACTCCGTCTCAAAAAAAAAGGAAAAAAAGCCCCGAGGAAAGCCTGCCGTCTCTAGCTAAAGGACCAGGAAAAGGGTGGTCCTGTATGACAGAACTCTTTTGACTATGCCCACCCTCTGCCAGGCAAAGATAAGAAACAATTCTGCAACCATCTGCCTCCCCATTGGGTGCTGTGGCTGTGGAGACTGTGATTAGAGCCCCATGGACCATTCCTCCCTGCATGAAGGAGGCACCACACCATTCCCTCTCCACCTGTCATGGGGAGAGTGTGCAGTGAGACCCTGCCCACAATCCCCACTTGCATTAAGTGAATGTCAGCAAAGAGGAAACATCCCAGCCCTTCCGTAAGGGGCCATTACAGAGAAGAGGAAGCCAAATGAAAGGGGTCGTGGAGGGAAGTTTATAGGGAAGATTCTGTCAACTTCTCTGAAGAAAGGGATTTTTTAAATTTATGAATAAAGTTGTGGGAAGACCTTCAAGTGGTCTGTGAGTCAAATTGGTTAGAATTAACACAGCAATAGGTTTGAGAGCCAAAATAGTACCTTGACGATTTCAGATTGACCTCTGGGTGGTATACAAGTGGGGCAGCGGAGATAGCACTATAAAGCCTTTGAAAACAAAATTGACATTTAAACCACAAGCCCACAAAAGTAGGCCATGATGTGTGCTCTGAGCCTAAACAGGTTGACTGCTTACTAAAATAGATATTGAATAGGTCTCTATTATATCCCATGATGTAATACATAAAGTGTTCAAGAGCTAATCCAAAATAATACTTCATACCAAATATCAGAAACATGTCAACTCAAATAAGAAAATAAAATCAACAATTACCAACACTGAGATAACACAGATGTTAGGATGATCTCATAAGGATTTTTAAGTAACCATCATAAAACTGCTCCAACAAACGATTATAAATACTCTTGAAACAAATAGAAAATTGTAAACGCTCAGCAAAAATGGAAGCTATAAAGGAGAACTAAATTGAAATTTTAGACTAAAAAATATAAGAACTAAAATATTTTAATTTTTTTCTAGAGGCAGAGTCTTGCTCTGTCATCCAGGCTGAAATGTAGGTATGCAATCATAGCTCACTGCAGCCTCAAACTCCTTGGCTCAAGCAATCCTCCTGCCTCAGCCTCCTGAGTAGCTAGGACAATAGATGTGTGCCACCACACCCAGATAATTAAAACAATTTTTTGTAGACATAAAATCTTGCTTTGTTGCTCAGACTGGTCTTGAACTCCTGGGTTCAAGGGATCCTCTTGACTTGACCTCCTAAAGTGCTGGGATTACAGGCATAAACCATCCTTCCTGGCCCAATAAGCAGAATTTTAAAACTCACAGAATGAGTTCAATAGTAGAATAGAAATGACAAAGGAAAGTGTTATTGAACTCAGAGGTAACTCAATAGAACAATTCCTATTGAGTTATTTTTTTAATAAGTGTAGATAATTATTCTATTGACTTATTCTGGATAATTATTCTGAATAGAATGATTTTCTAGATAATAGAATAGAAATAAAATAGAATAAGTATAAATAAATTAGCTTAGTTCCTAATCTATTTAAAAAGAAAATGGATTTTTAAAAAAAATGATTCTCAAGGACCAGTGGGACAGTGACACAAGAGATAGCATTCATATCATCAGAGTCCTAGAAAGAGATGAAAATAAATAAAAGTGAGCAAATATTTTTTGAAATAATGACAAGAAACTTCCCAGATTTGGTGAGACACATAGACTTATAGATTCAAGAAGCTGAGCAAATCCAAAACAGGGTACAATTAAAGAAATCCATGGACAGACAATCACATTTTTGAAAATTAAACACAAAGAACGTATTTTAAAAGCAGTCATAGAGAATGGTTATAATGACAGTGAATTTCCCATCAGAAACCATGGAGGCCAGAAGGAAGAGTCAGAATGTTTTTCAAGTGCTGAAAGAAAATAACCATCAACCCAGAATTCTATATCTAGCAAACTTCTTCAGGAACAAAAGTGAAATGAAAACATTCCCAAGTGAAGGGAAACAGAGAATTTGTTGTCAGAAAACCTGCTTGAAAAGAATTGCTATAAGAAGTTCTTCAAACAGAAAGGAAATGATAACAGATGGAAACTTGTGGAACATCAGTTATGACGAAAAAGAAATGAAAAGAGCAGATATCTAGATAAATATATATATACTATCCTTCTTTTGGGTTTAAAATATTTTTTATGATTGGAAGCAGAAAATTACAACAGTCTGATGTGGTTCTCAAGAAATGTAATAATATTTAAGACACTTCTGTCATTAAGGGGAGTGGTAAAGAAGCCTGCATGGAGGTAAGGTTTTAATATTCATTCCACTTGAAGTAGTAAGTTGTTAATATTGGTAGGATGTAATGTGTTATATGTGTATATATGTCATAATCACTACAGCAAACACTTGAAAATACCAAAAAACATTACAGATAAATTAAAATAGAATACTAAAAATTGTTCTGGTAACCCAAAGGAAAGCAGGCAGAGGGAAACAAAGGAACAATAAAAGTGGGGAGGGAGAAACAAACTGAAAACAAATAATAAAGCAGCGACTTAAATCCTAAAATAACAACAGTGGGAGGCTGAGGCGGGAGGATCACCTGAGGTCAGGAGTTCAAGTCCAGCCTGGCCAACATGGCAAAACCCATCTCTACTAAAAATAGAAAAGTTAGCTGGGTGTGGGAGTGGGCACCTATAATCCCAGCTACTCAGGAGGCTGAGGCATGAGAATCCTTGAACCAGGTGGGGGAACGGGGGCAGAGGTTGCAGTGAGCTGAGCTCACACCACTTCACTCCAGCCTGGGTGAGTGAGCAAAATTCTATCTCAAAAAAATAAAAAAACTGAACCAATTATATGTGTTCTACAGGAAACTTCAGATACTGTGATACAAGTTGCTGAAATGTAAAAGTATGAAAATATATATTCTGTAAAGCTGATCAAAAGACAGATGGAGTGCGTTCATATCAGATGATGTAGACTTGTGCAAAGGAAAAGGAAGAACATTGCACAATAAGAGAGTGAATTCACCAAGAAGATGTAACAATGTTATGCATCAAATAAGAGTTTCAAATATCTGAGATGAAAGCTGACACAGCTGAAGAAAAATATAGTCAGAGACTTCAATACTGCTCTTTCAGTAATTGAGAGACTACTAGACAGGATATCAAAAGCATATGGAAGAATTTAACACCATCAACCAACATGATCTAATTAGCATTATAGTACACTCCAACCAACAATGGCAGGATACACAATTTTTGTCAAGTGCACATGGAATAGTCAGCAAAATAGACCATATTTTGGATCATAAAACAAATCTTGACATTTAATGAATTGAAGTCAATACAGTATGCTGTCTGACTCTTAGGTCAATAACAAAAAATAAGAATATCTCAAAACACATAAAATTACACACTTTTAAATAATCCAGACATCAAAGGGTAAGTCTCAAGAGAAAATTAAAATATATTGAATTTAATGAAATGAAAATAAATACAACGTAGCAAAAATATATAGGGTACAGTGAAAGCGGTGCTTAGAAGGAAGTTTGTAGCACTAAATGCTTATATTGGAAAAGAAGAAAGCATTCAAGTCAATCATCTGAGCTTCTGTTTCAAGATATTAGAAAAAGAAGTGGGGAAAAAAACCCAAAGTAAGAAGAAGATAAGAAGTAAAGCAGAAATTGATAAAACTGAAAACAGAAAATAGAGAACATTAATAAAACTAAAAGCTAATTCTTTGAAAGATCAATAAAACTGATGAACTTCTAAGAAATCTGAAAGAAAAATGGTAGAAGACACAAATTACCAATGTCACGAATGAAAGAGAGGGCCAGGCACATTTTCTCATACCTGTAATCTCAGCACTTTGGGAGGCTGATATTGGCGGATCCTAGAAGTCAGGAGTTTGAAACCAGCCCGGCCAATGTGGTGAAACCCCATCTCTACTAAAAAAAAAAAAAAAAAAAAAAAAAATTAGCCAGTATGGTCGTGCTCATCTGTTTTCCTAGCTACTTGGGAGGCTGTGGTGGGAGGATCACTTGAACCTGGGAAGTGGAGGTTGCAGTGAGCCGAGATCTTGCCACTGCACTCCAGCCTGGGTGACAGAGTGAGACTCCATCTCAAAAAACAAAAAAGAATGTTACTGCAGATTGCATAGATACTTAAAGGATAATAACAAACAACTCTATACATGTACATTTGAAAATTTTGATGAAACAAACCAATTTCTCAAAAACCACAAGCTACTAAAACTCATCCAATATAAAACAGATAATCTAAATAGTCCAACAACTACTGAGGAAATAGAATTCATGGTTTAAAATTTTCTGAAAAAGAAATCTCCAGGCTTACTGGCAATTTCTATCAACCATTTTGGGAAGAAATAACACCACTTTTAACATAATCTTTTACACATAGTAGAAGAAAAAGGATTACTTCATAGTTCATTTTACGAGGCCAGTATTAGCCTGATACCAAATCCAGATAAGGACAGAAGGAGAGAGAGAGAAACTATTGACCAGTGCTCTACATGACTATAGACACAGAGTCCTTAATGAAATGCTAACAAATTGAATCTGGAAATATATGAAAGTGGTGATGTACTATAAACAATAAAAATAATATTTTCCCTATTTGTAGATGACATAATTGTGTATGTAGAAAATCCCATAATCTACACAAGAACTTCTAGAACTAAAATGCGAGTTTACTAAGGTGCAAGATTCAAGGTCAATGCACAAAAATCAA